GTACAATATAGACATAACAGTTACAATAAGGTAGGTTTACTATTTTCAAGGAATTATTTCGTTACTTTTTAGTGTACTGTTTTTCTGAGAATATTTTGTTTTTGGTGCATTTTGTTTTGTTTTTAGTGTATTTTGTTTGGAAGTCGGTTTTGTTTTTGTCATAATTCACAACTTGCGCGCGCATTCCGTCCAATGCGCCAATAAATATAACCTCAAAATAATACGAAACAATTTAAAAAATAACACATTTTAATTTAAAAAAAACTACTTAAAAGGTGGTAAAATGCCTGCTAGGTTATACTCTTTTAATCAAATCGAGTTTTAAAATCGGATTTATTGAGATAAAGATGTTTCAATAAAAAAAAAACAATAGATATCTTTCGTTGAATATTAATTTATTTCTAAGACGCTCTGAGATATTTCTTTTACTGAATCTTTTTAAATAGTCATTTAAATTGCAAATATAATTATCAGATTGTTACAAGAATAGGTCACTGCCATTTTATTCTTGATAACTGTTACAAATATAAAATCAATAGTTTCGTGACTATAAACAATTAAATACATATTTAGAAAATGATGAAACCTCATCCAAGGACTGCTTCAAGAAAGTAAACATCGCAGCAGTACATAATATAACCTTAAGTTAAATATACATGAAAACATCGAAAAAGTCCTACAAATTAAAAAAATACTGCGAGTTAGATTCGAACTAAGTTATGTGTATTTTTTTTAATTCCCGCGTCCGTTGTAGGTAATATACTCTATGACACTCCGAGGAAGACGAATCTAACACCTCACTTGTTAAAATAGGTTCAACCGTTTAGAGCGTGACTAAACTATCGCACAACTGTTTAGTCTCGCTTAAATTCCTATAAGATTATATAGAAGTGCACACTTCTCGATTTTTAGTGCTAAACAGTTGAATTGGCTACAAAACAATCGACAATCGCACACTAGTGCGATGGTTTAGTCAAAGGTGTGCACCTGCTCTTAGGCTGTAGACTGACAATGGAATTTACATACTTAAAACCCACATACATGAAAACAAACATACAAAACATACATACGTGGGAAACATTATCTTTTTGTGAGTTGGATAAAATTGTATCTTGCAAATCTTTTAGACATTGACAGAACGGCGCTAGTGTGTTATCAAACTATAGTTTGTTTTAGGACGGGAATACATTCAGTCGGCACAGTAGAATTCTACTTACTGGCACGTTTCGGCCAAACCAGTATCTAAATAGTGTTAAGTTAGTACCGCGCTGTAGAATTGTCGCAACATTAGATTATTGGCATAAACGTCACATCTCTAACTGACAGCTGTCAATGTCATTAGAAGGATTGATTCGCGCGCATTCCTGGCGAGTTCTCTAATAGAGTGTTTAAATTATTTTGCTCGTAACTATATTTATTGTTTAAAAATAGCAAGTATCACGGTATTTGATTATAACAGCTATTACTATGTAAATTTGAGGTAGATTTTGTAAGGAGAGTAAGTTTCGAACACGTCACATCCCATACGATCTTATTCACTTAATTTGTGTGTTTATACTATTAGACAACTTATTTAAATGATACTGTCGCTTTTAACTCGCAGCAATACTTCTCGTCAAGACTCAAGTTATCCAATCTATCCATACTTCTTGAAACATTGACAGCTGTCAGCTAGGGACGTGCCGTTTATGCCGATAATCTAGAGTTGCGCCAATTCTATAGCACAGTACTAATTTTATTCCTAGCAATATCCACCGGATTAGAACCTGTTGGGCTACTTAAACTTTGTTTTCTAATCTAAAACTTTACATAACTTTAGACATAATTAAACAGTTGCTGACAGATAACAAACCAATTTATTATCAAGTTGTAAGTCTGTAGCAAATAAGACAAACCAACGGAATGAAAATACCAATGTATTGGACACGTTTAGTTAATAACGGTAATATAGTTGTTCAATGTTATGCAATATTATGAAATACCTTGAATAATAAATTATAATGAATCATAATAAAAATGTAAGATAAGGCACTTAAAGGAATAAATTCAAATATGACTAATAAAGATGTAGGAAAGAGTACATCTATCTATACTTACTATTATAATAAAGCGTAAACACATACTTCTTTGTTGCCTAAGATGTCAGCAATTACATGCTGTAATTTTTAAATAATTCTTTTTTTAATAAATACCCCAACACTTACGTCACGCTTTAGGCAATATAATTTCACGCCATTAAACTATTTTGGATAAAAACCCTAATGTGGGAAAGAGACCATAAGTTGCTGCCAACATCAAGGAAGCAAGGTTGTCATCATGTCATGTCATTTTGACATTTGTAATTGATAATTTGACAAATGTAAACAATAAAATAAAATTTTCATAATTTCATGCGGACGAAACCGCACGAGAACAGCTAGTATTAAACACAACGAAAGCATAAAAGAAGAATAAATACTTTCAAACATAATGCAATAAAAGCAACAAAATAATCTATTGTATAACTTTGGAAGACAGAAAATTCCTATACCGTATTATTTCTACTGATGTAGAATTATTCTTTTTCTAAAGGCGATACTGATCTAAATGTTTAAATTACTTAATTAAACCTTAGGGCCTTATCAAGGTTATTACCATGGAATTAATATTACAGCTTTAAATAAACATTTAAATAATATATTTAAATACTAGCTTTCGCCCGCGACTCCTTCCGCGTAAAATAAAGACAAACAAAAGTGAATAGCCTATGTGTTCTTTCAGACTATCCTCTACATGTATACCAAATTTAATCGAAATCCGTTCAGCCGTTTTGACTACAAACTCTAACAAACATCCATCTAAATTTTTGCATTAATAATGTTAGTGTGATAATAATGCATAAATACTATACCATAGACATTACGAGTGACTGATCACGTGATAACATGATGACATAATATTCAATATTAGCTGTTCCCATGCGACTTATCCGCATAAAATTATGAAAATTTTATTTTATTGTTTACATTTATCAAATTCTCAATTGCAAATGTCAAAATACCAATGACCTTACTATGGCAATCTTGTTTCTAGATGTTGGCAGCTCGAATCGTATGGTGTTTTTCCCACATTAGGGTTTTTATCAAAATATTTACCCCCTAACTTTAATGGCGTGAAAATATATATCCTAAAGCCTGACGTAAGTGTAGGACTTTTTAATAAAGAAAGAATTATTCAAAAATATGGTGTAATTGCTGAGTACTTAGCCAACAAAGAAGTGTGTATTTACGCTTTATTATAATAGTATAGAAGTATAGATAAAAAATTAACAGTCGCGATTTTTTCTATTTTCCAGAATTTGTATAGTAATACAGAAAAAAAACATTTTCGTGATTCTTAAATTACTTATAGATTTTAATAGATATTTTAGAGTGCGGCAATTATTACATATTGTTAAGTGAACAAAATATGTTTGATTTTACGGACATTTGTAATTTATTATTTTTTGATTATTACGGAATATTAATAGAAAAAAACAAATGCTATTTGTGCATAATGTCTACATATTAAGAAATTCCAATTATATTAAAAGTATGTAAAATCTACAGATACTGGCGCCAGTGAGCCTATACGCCTGGTAACGCTACTGTCTAACTCATCATCCACTTGCCCTTATCCCTCACGGAGGGCACAGTATGTGCTGCTCTTCCATACATCTATATCAGCCGTCATATCTGAATACACTCCTTTCTTAAGCATATCCTCTTTCACACAATCTATCCATACTTTCTTCGGTCTTACTCTTCCTTTGTAGCCATCGACTTTCCGGTTTATGTCCCCATCGTCTCGTCGCATAACATGTCCCTACCATGCTACTACTGTATTGACCAAATGTAAACCAGGAATTTTTATTATCTGGCTTAAAAACTTAGGTTTCTTTGTACATTATGTAATTGTATATTTAACATGGCAACTCGGCAAGAAACGTTAAAAATCAAAACCAGTTAAATAAAATAATATGAGATAATACGACATTGAGTTAAAACATTTACAAGGGCTTTTAAAAACGTGCCTTATTATAATTATCGAATTAAAATTGAACAAGGTTATGAGATGAAAGGTTTTTTTAAATATATCTTACTAATATTATAAATGCGAAAGTTTAGATGGATGGATGGATGGATGGATGGATGGAGAGATGGATGTTTGTTAGCGTTTGTAGCTTAAACGGCTGAACGGATCTCTATGAAATTTGGCAAAGGTTTAGAGCATAGTCTGGAAGAACACATAGGCTATTTTTTATCCCGGGAATAGTTACGGTTCCCGTGGGATTCATTAATTTAGTTTTTTAATGTTTACTCGATCATTCTGCAACGGTTCAACATATCTTATTGAAATTTGGCACAGATATTAAACAAAGTCTGGAGTACACATGGGATAAGCTTCATCCCCGAGGAAAACGTTACTTTTTGTAATTTATATAGTTTGTATATTTACTAATACCACGCGGACGAAGTCGCGGGCAACAGCTCGTTTTTACATATAAGCGTCTATGCTAGACAGAGACAAGTATAGTTTTCTCTTTCTTCCTTTCCCTTTAATAGATGTATAATCTACAGTTGTCATAATCCAAATACCATTTGCATTATGACAACTAAGGGAAATAACCTCACCAAATCTCCGTAGTTTTTTAATATTCTTATTATGTTGCATATATGATCCTGATACAGACTATTTTAAAGTCGACTCTAAAGTTATAACAGTAAAGTTTAAATTGCCTTATCCATGTCACTAATATTTTTATGTTTCTGATCAGGGATTTAAAAGCACTCGCCATTTTGCGTTAAAATATCTTTGCGCATTAGAAAGTGACATAATAAAGAATTTTATGTTCTTGTTAGGGTATTTTTACAACTTATTTAATTGATACTGTCGCTTTAAACTCAGAGCAACACTTCTTGCCAGGACTCAGGGATCGCGCCAAATTATCCATACTTCTAGTGACATTGACAGCTGTCAGCTAGGGACGTGACGTTTATGCCGATAATCTAGGGTTGCGCCAATTCTACAGCACGATACTAATTTTGTTCTTAACAGTATGAACAATGAACCTTCATTTCATTTTGTTAGTTCTTTAACCTTTGTTAATGGAAGAGTTCGTTACTTTGATATTATGTACTCTTACTTACTAATATAAATAAAGTAAAGGCAGTAAAAGGGATGAAAGGAGACATGTGGCGGAAATGCGAATGTTAAGATGGATGTGTGGTAATGATTGGATAAGATACGAAATAAGTATATTAGAGGAAGTTTGAGAGTAGCCCCAGTGTAAAATAAGGAGTAAAAGGTTTGCGTGGTATGGACATGTTATGAGAAGGGATGAATCGCATGTAATAAAACGGACGTTAGTTATTAATGTGGTACACCGGTAGAGGTAGACATAGAAAGAGATGGATTGCGTGAAAGGTGACATGATCAAGGGAGTGACTGAGATGACGGATGATAGAGTTATTTGGAGGACGAAAACCCGGTGCGCTGACCATACGGGAGTAGGATAAGGCAGGGCAGATGAGATGATGACTTACTAATATAAATGCGGAAGTTTAGATGGATGTTAGATTTGTAGCCTAAACTGCTGAACGGATCTCTTTAAAGGCATAGATTTAGAGAATAGTCAGGAAGAACACACTTACTTTAGATTTTTTTTTTAATTCTTACTTTTACTATGCCAACTAAATAAATATATAGTTCTAATGGAATACCTTGTAGTTTTTACAGCACATTTATTATGATGAAAGTGGACATAAAGGCATGTCAAACTCGTTCTCTGAGAACAACGAATTCATTCTGGAATGTTCTACAACTTTAGTATATTATTCTATATATAATGTTTTATCAATTAAATGCAATAAAAAAACTCTATACCTAATTTAATTATGGTAATGTTATTAAGTAAAATTAAGACTTTAAAAAGTTAGTAAAAGTTTTATGAGGACTTAAAAACTTTAATTCCAATTTCAACTGTCATTCATCCATAGACCATAGACTAGTAGATATTTTTTTTTAAAAAATACACTTTTGAAGTTTGTGACATTTCGCATCGTCTATGGTTGCTGCAACGCGCGAAAAGTAAGAAACCAAATCTATCGTGACGTTTATTATTATTTAGCAAAGAATTATTATGAAACAAATAAAACATAGTAATATTATAAATGCGAAAGTTTAGATGGATGTTTGTTAGAGTTTGTAGCATAAACTGCTGAACGGTTATCAATTACATTTGGCATATAAGTAAAGAATATTCTGGAAGAACATCGAGTACTCATTTTTTTTTAATTCCACACGGACAGAGTCGCGGGCGAAAGCTAGTTTATAATAAAAGAAAAATGTTTTACTAGAATCTTCATATATATAATGTAAATCTATATATTAAATTTCGATGCATTATCGTGTTGCCGATTTCTACGTGCCATTCGGACCAGTTTTATTACCAGCCATTACTATTAACTATTAACATAAAATGATATTAATAATCTACCATTTCATAACTCTTATTACTAAAAGAAAGAGTTTCCCAATTACATTTATTGTGTTACATGTTTTTATACAATTGCTAGCTTCCGCCAGCGAAATTAAAAAAGCAAAAGCAATTATGTGTTCTTCCAGACTATCCTCTACATCTATGCCAAATTTTATCGAGATCCGTTAAGCCGTTTAGGCTACAAACTCTAACATCCATCCATCTAAACTTTCACATTTATAATATTAGTAATATTTACACTATTGTGTTCCTATTCACATTACCTTAAATTATTAGTGTAATTTATTAAAATCTGTTAATATTTAGGAAGATAATGCCCGTAAAATCCAAGGTTAGCAAATAAGATACTCTCACACGTAAAAATATAAACATAAAAGTTGCTATAAAATAATTGCGTTGTTACCAAGTTATTGTGATAATAAAATAATAAATAAACTCACTTTCTCGTACACTGATCATAGACCTTGCAACTTTAGGGTTGACACAATAAAAATTATTAACAAAACTACACACTAAAAGTTCCTATTACGTATAAGATCATTTAAAAATGCGTCAACACAGGAGCAAAGTAAACAAGACATTGGAAATTAGCGCCCGGAGTCTCAAAGTGGTCAGTTGTAGAGTTGCCAGATTATAAAATTCTGCACACATTACGGGAGTATTCATTAAACTATTAAAATTGATAAAACATATATAAACAGATAAAATTATGTTATTAATTATTATTATTTGTGTTCTTAATACTTATGCATATTTCTTAAGCCTCTCTTGTACAAATGACTAAGTGTTTATTAAAAAGTTGTAAGCATAGTTTCTTTGATTTAGTATTGAATTTGCTAATTTTCCTTCTATAATAACAAAGTCATATACTTACGAATTGTAGATATGTAGATTCTTTTTTCGTATTTAATAATTTTGGGTATTTTTTTAACAATGGCAACACTATTGACCGGTTATGAGATAATATACGTGAGAACTTAAAATGCTGTAGGAATTGATTTTATTAATAGATTATTTCTAATCCAATGGATTGACCGATGATCTTTTACTATCGCCTTAACTAAGGGCAGATATACACGGACTGTTTATAGTCGTATACGACCAGCAGCGTTTCAGTGGCGATTGAAAACAATGCTTCGTGTATGCCTAAAATTATGTCAAAATGGATATGCGGTCGTACATACGTATAGTTCTCGAAGTTTTTTTACTTTTAATATAACTTTTAGATCTTCTAATAGACAAGTGTGTATGGGTCTTTTCTTTTTAAATAAGTTACTGGCCCAAGAACAGTTGCGCAATGCACAATACCAACCCTAAAATTTGTATTTTGCGTAACAACGTTGTTCCGCGTAGATATTTCTGGCAACCGTATCTAAAGTTTGTTTCTTTCTTTCTATGCTAATATTATAAAGAAAATAGGAAAGATTTAATTTTTTTGTATGTATTTAATTCACGCAAAAACTACTGGGCCGATTTTAAAAATTCTTTCTTTCACCATAGGAAATTGGAAAGGTAATTAGGTAGTAATAGTAACACAGGCCATAGCCTACATTTTGATTTAATTTCACGCGGGCAAAGTCGCAATCGCGAGCAACAGCTAACTAGTTTACCAAGATATAAAAAACCGCCTAACAGGTAAGTTAGAACGGTTGTATCAAAAATAAGAATTTTAGTTATAAGGGGGCAAACTTGCGGCCACCGTTAAGTGATCGAAGGAATTCTGAACGTCGGAGTACAACTCCATACGTTGTGAGTAAAATGACATCACGTTTTAATACACTGTTAGCGACATCTACACGTGGGTTTCGAAATTATTGTTAAAATAAAAAATAAGGGAATTTTCCAATTAAGTTTTATGTCAAAATCAATAACGTGTCACAAATTGCTAAGCATAATTTATTACGGTTCTTAGATAGGTAAAAATTCCGAGATTGTCTTTTACTATTTATATGAGATGATTGAAGAATGTAAAAATATATTTTTGTAACAGCGCCATCTATAGCTAGAAACCCGGTTTTTAAAATATTAAACATCAGTGTTATTTAACTTATGTATGTAATTGTATTAATACATAATAATATATTTATTTAGTTATTATTAAACAAACAGACATTAAATTTAAGTTGGATTTGTTATTGAAGTTTTTAAGTTTAGTATTATACAAAACCTGTACGTTTTATTACTACAAGTTGTAAAATCGTACTTTGCTATTATTATTTTGCCAGGCGTTACTACTACCTTAATACTTAAATAAACAATGTAAAGCAAATATAAGATATACAACAAAATTACTATATATTTGATTGTGGTATTTTACGTATTGTTTTTTTCAATAAACTAACACCATTTTTGTATACTTTTTTCTTTATTTTTTACTTAAATTAATTTTTACAGCATAACAAAAAATTCTTGACATCTTTCATCTTTTTTTGTTTTCACCTTTTCTTCCTTTTTTATTACATAAAATGTCTATGCAGCCAGTAATATCCATATATTGTTACATTTGTAATAAATTACAATTTTGCAACTGCTTCTTGTATAAAATAATAATATTTAATAATGTTTGCAGTCCTACAATAATTTCATTTAATAAAAATCTAATACAACAAAATACAGCGCCATCTCTTGGTCGATTAGGTTTAACCACGTATCAATTCCATAAATATCTAAATTTTCTATGTTTACTAACGACGAAGCTAGTGTAATCCACAAGTTGTTTTATTGGATCTCTGATTGACAAGTGGCAGTGGCTCATGTTTTATCGTACTTTGGAAATATTCACGATGAACTAATAAAACCGTTGTAGGTAAATGTTCCAAAATTTCTCAATTGAAATAAACTGAGTTAAAAAAATAGCTATAAAACCGAAATTTGTACAAACAGTTCGATCACCTTTGCTAATTTCAGTTTTGTTTATTTTAAGTAAATTTTACTATCACATTACTGTTGCTGTCATGACGCACTACGGTTTATTTCCTTTCCGGTGTTTATAATAAATAGACTGAAAACATTCAACATTGAATTTATTACCTTTCATTTACTGAAGTAACGTAAAAACGATATCATAGGTTGGTTATAATCCGGAATTATTAAAGAAGTACAAACAAGTATTTTAAAAATTTCAATACTGACCGACTGTTCATTACATCTGTAAAAATTACACAAAACTCAAGGCCAAATACAGTTAAATACCTATGTAGTGAGGTTTTAAACTTTTAAAATAAAATCTTTTCAACGATATAACACTTTTGAATGTCGTGACCAAATGTGCATCTTATTCCTTAAATACGTGTCTAATTCCCGCTCAGCCGGACGATGCGGCGGCCATTAAGGGGTCATTGACATTTTTGGCTTCGCGCCAGATTAGCTACTAGAATTAGATTCCTTGTCTTAATTGTTACTTTGTCCCTTTCGACACTATAATCTATGGTTTTTATTTCAGTATCTGTTATTCATTAGTTTTCCATTCATTTTTTGTAGCCAATCTTAATTAACTTTGTTTAAATAAATTGCATTTAGTGGGTGACAAATGTTTTATTTAGTTACTGTAGTTATGTGTATACGAGCTTTTGCCCGCAACTCCGTCCGCGTTGATGGTCCTTATGGGGAAGGGTCGCAATTGTAGCTAATTGTTTGCTAATTCTGTCGAACAATGGATGCAAAATGCCTTCATTTTACTGTCAATTTAATGTCTACGTCTAGGGTTGTCAGCCTAAAGTTTTAAGATTGAAAATAATAATAAAACTGGACGATCACAGCTATTAAAACATAAATAAGCACTTTTTACTTAGAATACTGGCTATCGTTAAAGCGCTGTGTAGTGTAAGGTGACACTCGCCAGATGGCGCGCAGACAGAAGTAGTGCATGCTCGAATTACTTCCTGTTACAAAGAATCGATACAGGAGCATAGATTAAAAAAAAATATATGACTCAGAATGACCAAGATCTTAATTTTGTTTCTAAAAGATATTTTCCATATTCTTAATTCACTCGTAAATCAAATATTAGGCGTTTTAACAGTAAACATTTCACGTTTCCTTAATAGTTTTATTGATTACATATATATGTATGTTTATATAAACATTAGTTTTTTCCTTTCAGTATTATTGTTACGTTATCGTTGGTTATATCTAGTTTATTTCAAAGAGATAGAGGTTAGTCATTCGAGTCGATTCCCCGAACAATTTCAGTAAACTAAGGAGTTATCAGGAACATTCGTGAGAATGTTTTCGAAACATTACCGAGCGTAAAGTACAAGTCTAATACAATACAATATGTTGAAGTAGTTTCGAATATGTTCTCGTAATTTTTATATGAATGTTCGTGATAGTATCTTTGTAATAACAATTATTCTACGATAGCATGTTATCGTAAATTCATCAGTTTCACGAAACTGTATGATTCTATGAAATGACTCATTTGTTTTCATTCATTCGTTCATTTTTATCTCTTTATCTATACTAATATTATAAAGATGAATGATTTGTATTTTTGTATATCTTACTAATATTATAAATGCGAAAGTTTAGATGGATGGATGGATGTTTGTTAGCGTTTGTAGCCTAAACGGCTGAACGGATCTCCATGAAATTTGGCACAGGTTTAGAGCATAGTCTGGAAGAACACATAGGCTACTTTTTATCCCGGGAATAGTTACGGTTCCTTTGGGATTTATCAATTTAGTTTTTTAATGTTTACTCGATTATTCTGCAACGGTTTAACATATCATATTGAAATTTGGCACAGATATAAAACAAATTCTGGAGTACACATGGGATAAGGTTCATCCCCGAGAAATGTCCGGTTCCCGAGGGATACTTAGCTTTTTGTTGTTTATATAGTTCGTATGTTTTCTTATACCACGCGGACGAAGTCGCGGGCAACAGCTCGTATTAAAATAAATCTACAACTACTGGGCGATTTAAATATCTTTCAAAAATAAGGAGATAGCTATTGTTGAGTAACATAGGGTATGTTTTTACAATTTTTACTTCGTGGATGAATTCGCGCGAATTTTCTGCTATTGAAGCGGTTACATTAAAACATTTGTTGCTAAATTAATTCAACGGTAATTAAGAAAGGGTGTTTTAATTACTTTTACTGATTTAATTTAATTTATGGTAATACGTCGCATGGACTTCCCATGACTCATCTTCTGGGATACCAGCTTTTATTACCAAAGGGGTTAAATATTAGTAAATTTTGGTAATAAAATCAAAGTACATTAAGTGTAACGAAGAATTAATTAAATTTACAAAATTACTGTTATAATCTGAATTATCTAAATGGTAATAAAATTAGTTATTATACGAACAAATTTTCGAGAATTAAATTAGTTCTAAAATAACTTTATCTAAAATTAAAAACAGTACATGGATAAATAACGACATATCAGACACTAGCTGTTGGTCGCGACTTCGCTCGCGTGAAATTAAAAAAGTAAAAAATGGTGACCATATAGCCTACGTCACTCACAGATAAATTACCTTCTTAATGGTGAAAGAATTTTTGAAATCGGCCCAGTAGTTCTTACGTGTATCATTCATACAAAAATCCGAATCTTTATAATATTAGTATAATATCCATAAACTAATGTAATTATTGATCGTAACCTAAAGAATTTATAACAAAATACTTCAAAAAGTTACCAATTTGGTAGTAATTTTTACGCTTGCCACATTCTTACCCTTCGTTCGTTCCCGTTCAGCTCACAGCTGGTTCGTTTTCGTTCCATTCCTTTGTGTGTCGAGCGATCATTTTATAAGCCGCTCAGCCGCGGGAGAGCACGCTACACCAGTTGGATTTTATTAAAAATATTTTAAGTAATAACTATATAAAATGAGGGAAATAGTGCATTTACAAGCCGGGCAGTGTGGTAACCAGATTGGCGCTAAAGTGAGTTAATTTTTGTTATCTATTGATTTAAATTACCAACGGTCGGCACGTGTGATTATTTTGCAAAAGTTCCTGTCACTTGGGTTTGCGTTAGTTTTTTTCTCTTATAGATTTTGGGAGATGTTTAATATAGTAAAATTTATATTTTTCATGCGAGATTATCTCGTTATATTTATATCGTAATATATGAATTAATTTAATGTGGGTACAATTGTAAACAGCTAATATTTTTCTAAATTATTTATTTTTAAAATTAAAAAAGAAATGTAACGAATTTTCCGACATGAATGTAATTAATATTTATTAAAATATTTTTTTAAATACAGATACAATAATATTTTAAGACGTAACTTAGAATTAACTTTGATTTTAAATTATTTAAATTCTGTCAGTTATCGAATTAAATCTAGAATTTCAGCTGTTAAAAACTTTTGTGTTGCTTTATGCATGTTATAATTCTAAAGTTTTACTAGCGACGTGCCCCGACTTCGCACGGGTTCAGTGTTAATACGAAAATGTGTTTATTTACATCTCATTAGAAACCTCTAGAATCATCAGTATTTTTCTATGTTTTAACAAATATTCCTCTTGAATCTGTCTATTAAAAAAAACTATATCAAAACCCACTGCGTAGTTTAAAGTTCTAAGCCAGTGATTCTCAACCTTTTTTTTTGTTGCGGCCTACTTAACGATTTCAAAATTTAACTGCACACAAAGAAAAAGATAAAAATTATTTACTAACACACTGCATAAATAATTTTTGTCAAAAATATGTAAAAACTGGCTGCACACTTTTGAAATTTGGCGGCATGCAAGTGTCGCGGCATAGGTTGAGAATCTAAGGTCTAAGGTCTAAGCATACATAGGGACAGACGTAGGGAAGCGATTTTTGACCGACTTCCCAAAAGGAGCTACTCAATTCGTCTGTATGTTTTTTTGTACAATTTAGTTGTAGATTTAGTTAATATAGTTAGGAATTACTAATGTCTAATCACTTGAACAAGAGTATATACGTCTCTTTCATTTATTTTAAAAAATATGAAATAGCAACGTATTTGTGCTATTTTTTTTGAGTTTGAGATTGCTTGCTGGCGGGTGTTTTGTCGCGACCTCAGAATTGTACAATGTATAGCTGTTGCTCGCGACTTCTCCTGCGTGATATTAAAATGATAAAAAGTATACTTTTAGGTTATAGCCTATGTTAATTACTGCTAACGTAGCTTTTTAATGGTGAAAGAATTTTTGAAATCGGCCAATTAGTTTTTGAGTTATTTCAATAAATATAAAAATACAAATCTTTAGTCTTCATAATATTAGTATTGAGAAATGAATCATTTTTCTTAAATATGACAATTGTATTAACGATTTTGGTTTATAGTGAACTAACCCTAATATTCTTAAGTAACATAATTAAAAAAAAGTATTTCCCGCGCGTTTTTACACGTATCTTCACTAATAAAAAAAAATCTTAACAGCCAGTTCCTTAAACACAAACTTTTTACCAAAGAGCTTCGTACCAAAGAGATCGTATAACTTCAACTAAATAACTGGCCACTGGCATTGTATTTGCAAGTTCGTTTTCTTAAGTATTCTGATATGTAATTAATTTTTTCTTTCGTTCACAATAGATTTCTTCGTAGGTTTTTTCAGCTCTATTTGGAGTTTCGTTTTTGATTGTTTTATTTGAACAATATATAAACTATTAAGTTTGAATAACTTTTACTATATAAATTAGAGAATTCTATTCTAACTTCTTACTAATGTTATAAACTAGCTGTTACCCGCGACTTCGTACACATAATCTATATCAATATTATAAAGAGGAAGTGTATTTTAGTATGTATTGAAATAACTTAAAACTATTGGGCAGATTTTAAATTCTTAGACCATTAAAAAGCTACATTATCAGTAACAGTCGCGAGTAATAATAAAGTAGCCTAAAATATGCCCGTCTGTCAGCAACCCTTCAGTGAAAGTCCGGTTGAAATTGGCCCAGTCGTTTCGGACATCACCCGGAACGAACGTGGCCTGCAGACAGACCGATAAAAAATTTCAAATGCGATTTTCGTTATCAGCAAAGCAAATAAATCATCTTCCCGAAATCTGGAATTTTTCTGATATTACAAACAGACATTCCAATTTTATTATATAGATACAACAGTTTAGTCAGATGGATGTTTGTTAGAATTTGTAGCCTAAACTGCTGAACGGATCTCGTTAAAGGCATAGATGTAGAGGATAGTCTGAAAAAACACATAGACTACAAACTTTTCTACT